CTCGCACAATGGCGGAGAACAACGTTGCTCGTCGGGAGGACTCCGTGAGCTTGCGGCAGGCCCTCGTCGCGAGACGCGGGCGGAGGGACCACCAAGAAAAACCAACGGGCCGGGGGTCGCCAGCGACCTTGTCTAGTGGCTCCGCCAACGAGTCCGTCAGCAACGGAATCTCAAAGGAACATGCACCGCAATGGAGCCAGATCGGACCAGGGTATGCCTGCTAGCAGGGGCCACCAAGCCACTTGCTGAGGTGTCATGTCGTCGAGGAATTGCGAGCCCGCACTGTGCCGCCATCTGACCCAAAAACCGCCATGGCCATAGCAGGGCAGGGCAGGGCATGGCGTGGCATGGCACGGCTCGAGACTGTTGGCCGGAGCGCCGTACGACGGGTGCCACTATACGGCCTCAGCAGAGACTCCGTGATGCACTCGGCGGCGTGTCGTCTCGAGACATAAGTGGCTTCGCTGCCGGATGGGTATCACGGCCGGCGAGCAGAGCACGAGGTCCCATTGTTTCTGCCGAGTTGCGGGGAGCGGAACCCAGGGCGCGAGAACGGCGTGCTCCGTACATACATGCTCGTACCATCGTTTTGCCCTGGATACGTTCATCGGCAATGCAGGGCCACGATTTCTCCGGCCCGATGAAGCCGCGGCTCGCTCACTGGTTTCAAAAGAGAGAGAGGTGGGCGATTCATGGGCATCTCGGCATCGTGTCCCCTGCGCCGAGCAACCCAGCCAGCCCAGACAAGGGCCAGGGTGCCGGCGCGTCTGAGGGGCAGAAAGTTGGGGAAGCTGTCCGGAAGCCCCCAGAGCAAATCCTCGGGCACTGCCGGCAGCAGACGGGCCCCTCGTGAAAAGTCCAAGAAGATTGAGTGACGACGACCGAGAAGAACATCGCGGCGCTAATCTACGACTAGCCATGGCCGTGATCCTCGACAACGTGCTCGAACACAATAGGGTGCGCGTCTGCGACAAACAAGTTGCACGAGTCGAACGACGAGTCGGCCAGCTGATGGCAGGGAAAAGCTGCCTTGGTGGCCCGTGGTTGGCCCGCCGGCCGCCTCTCCTGGCCCACAGCTCGGGCCAGCATCTCGACGATGGTCATGGAAAGGCCAAGCCTGGCTTTGTTGGCGCCCGGTGCGCGAACTCGACGAACACCCCAATTGTCATGTGCGACAGGAGCGGCCAATTGCCGGTCCGGCACGGCGGGGTCATGGCAGACGATGGGCTGGAGCTGGCAGAGATCGCCGACAGCTTTGCTGAGATGGTGATCGATGGGGCCGTCAACTGTGAAGGAGGAGAGCCACATCAAGGATTCGGCACCTTTTCACCAGATGGGCCGAGCGGGCGGAGTCCAACGCGCGAAGGGGCCCCGGGGTGGTTGGCGGGTGGCCCCCACTTGGGGCGTTCGCCTGCGAGGTTTTCGATGCTGACGGCCCGGCCAGCGGTGCGGTCTTGGCCGTGGCTGTCGAGCTTGGGCCGTGGAGGAGGTGGTGACTGTGATGGTGGTGGTCGGGTGGCCCTGGTACGAGGGAGCCCGGAGAGGAACGCTTCCACCCCTAGGAGCAGTGCCACAGCGGCCGAGGCTTGAACTCAAAATGGCCGAATTGGTGGGCCGCGGGCGCCGTCGACTGATGCTAGCTGCTTCACAAGAGAATCCTAAAACAAAGACGCAAGGCAGAGGCGAAGAGGACACAAGTCTTCGCTGCGTCAATGGCTGTCCGTGAAGCCCGCCATCACGAACACGACCTGCACCTGCGAAGTTTGCATGTGCTACGGACAGGAGAGCCCAGGACAGTGTGCGTAACAACACCCGCACCCGACATTTCCTGTCCTGCAGGCTCGACACTGATGCGGACTGAATCAGACCAAAATTACTAGGTACGGAAAGGGTCCCCTTGGGTCTTGTCGGTATCATTGAGACGACGGGAGGGTCAAAGACGCGTTGGCCATGCTGATTGCGTTTGGCACTTCTGCCTGCGGCTGCGCAGACGATGCCAAGAGAGCTGGTTCTGGCCCGTCTTGAGCTGTCGCGCATGATTCGTATCTGGAACGCGAAACGTCAACCTCGCCGACGTCTGGTCCGTGTTTTCCCAGCCCGGGAGCTTGGACGACATCGCAAGCTATTCCAGTTGAGGCTGCCAGGAAAGGTGTGCCTCGTCGAGTCTCGGCTCAGCGCGGTGGGGCGGGCGCCTCCAAGGGCTTGCCTCTGGGCTTGCCTCTGGCAGTTAACGGCTTCTGATATCGTTGTGGCCGCCCTTGGTGTTCGTCCTACCCAGGCTGCTTGGTGGCACCCGGTGCAAGTCGAATGCAGCTCCCGAGCGCCTGGACGGCGCGGCACGTGTAGGCACGTAGGCACGTACGTCCGTACATACATACATGTAGAGGTGCCGTGCCGCGCAAGGGCTGCGGCGCTGGGTGAAGCATTAGGGTGGGAGCAAGGCACGAGGCGGGCAGATACATACATACAACGGACAGACATACATGGACGCACAGCAAGCAAGGCACAACGCCGCCCGGGAGCCAGAGCCGAGGGAGAGGTGGACGAGGCGAAGCAACAACGGCGGCCAAGGGAGAGAGAAACGTCCCAGCGTAACACACACACGCACAGCACAGGTCGGCTGGAGGCCCGGACTTTCACGGTGGACGCGGACGGGGGGCGTCCACCCGCCCGCCTGCCCGTCCGGCATCCATGCAACCAGCCATTCGGGCCCCTGTTGAGAAGGACGACTCAAGGGAGTGGCGGGCAGCCAGCGCATCCGAAGCGCTCGAGGGCCACAGCCCGTGTGCCGTGGCAGCCCTCCATGAGCGAAAACTCGGCGCCGACTCAACCAATTCTCAGCAAACAGGCATCCCGGCAAGGGACTGTTGCAACGCTGTTCCACCCGCGCCGCCCGCTGGCAGACCATCGCGAGAGTCAAGAAGGGGCCACGGCGGCTCGCCGATGGTTGGATTTGGCGACACCCCTCATCGGGCCCTCAATCCATCCATCCATCCATCCATCCAGTCCATGGACCACCACCACCAGGACCGCCACCCTTGTCCGCCAACCCGCCCCCCTCCTTCCCTTGGCCGTCCGCCATCGCCGTGCGGTGTGGGCGAGACGGACCGGACGTGGTTTTCTCCCCCCACTCCCCACCAACGAGCTTCGACACGGCCTCGCGACAAGTGTGTGCCCAACTGTGGAGCTGGATGGCTGGCTCGTGGCCCGCAGAGGAGCCAGGGAGGAAGCGATGGGCTCCAACCTTTCCAGCCTCCCGAGATATGAGACAAGACGAGACTGGAAGGAAAAGCAAGCTACAAGTGCTGTGCGAGTACGTACACAAGGGGACTCAACAACAAAGACGGCCAGACGGCGGCGACGCCGGCGCGGCGGGGAGGGCTGTGCCCGAGAGACATGGGCGACGAGACATTTGCAGACAATGGGGCCAACTTCGAGCGAGGTAAGCTTTCTTGCCCGGGCCCGTGTTGGGGGCGTGCTCTAAAACCACAGCTCGCTTGTCCGAAGATGGTACCATACCCAAGCCCGACGACGGACGTGTAGGTGCTCGAATGGTGGTGGAAGGGGGACGGGCGGACAGGCAACAAATGAGGAACGGCCACAGCGGCCGGATCGTTTCTCGGGCTTGTACCCAAGTCACCTGCCTACTCTTTTCACCTGCTCGTAGGGACACACGCCGTAGCGATAGGATATCGATACCTGGTCGAAGCAGCTGGGGGACCCGGTGCCATCCATTCGCTGTTGCTGGTTACGGACACAGGCCGCCTGGCGGCTGGGCTGGCGCGGCTGGGTGGCCTGGTCAGGCAAGGCCCCGGCCCTCGGGGGAGGAGGAGGAGCAGGAGGAGAAAGGGAAAGGCGAGGGAGGGAGCGGAGGGCAGGGGGGTGGGTGGTGGTGGTCGTCGGTGCGAAACGAGGAGGACTCGTTTGTACCCTGGCTTGGCCAGCCCGTTCCCCATCACGGCAAGCCCACCGGGGGGCGGGCGAGGCGAGACGAGGGCGGTTCGTTCACCCGCCCGGGGACAAGGACGGCGCGGCGGCGGCGGCGACGGCGGCGGCGACGTCGACAAGAGGAGGGACCCGACCGAGGACAGGGGACAGCAACCAACAATGGAGGGCCACGCACAGGCGACAAGTACCAGCGAGGGACGCGAACACCATTGGGACAGGCGCCGGCGTCGTCGCGCCTCTCTGCTCGGCCGGCCAGCCAGCGATAAGGTAGGCAAGGCAAGGCCTGTCCTGGCACGGCTTCTCTAGGCAAGGGCAGCAAAGCAAAGAAAGTACGTGGTTCTGGAGCCCGTATACGTCTAAGCAGCAGAGACAGCGATCAGCCAGAGGCGCCGGACTGACCTCTCCCCACTTCGGCTCCGCGTCGTCGTCGTCCCTTTCCCAATCTGCTTCGCCAGCCGCCCGTCCCAGTAAGGTCCCAGGAGCAAGGGCCCCAGATGCCCGAGGCGCGAGGTGTGAGTGAGGAGCGGGCGGCAGAGGCGTGAGAACAAGAGCAGGAGGAGTGCGGAGCGAGTGATTGTGGATGAGGAGTGAGGAGTGAGGGCAGGCTCGTTGAGGAGGCGGGCGGGCACTGTGTACGAGACCCAGGGTGCCACTGTGCTGGGCCTCATGTACTCGCACAGGGCCCGGGGCACGAGTCCACCCAGGTACCGCCTACACAGAGCCCGCGGCCCGTCCAGGGCGCCTCTCGCCCGCCGCCCGCCACCCCGGCCGTGTAGGGGGTACCTGGGGTGCACTGCTCCGGTCGAAGTCGAGTCGTCCCGTCCCCCATGAGGTGGACGTCCACTCGGGCGCTGGCACTCGATGGCTCTGGCGGCTGTGGCTCTGGCTCTGAGGTGGCTCTTCTGGGGCCGCCGCCTGGGCCTGCAAACTGGGTCCCCGTCTCCCACCTCAGGTCCCTGCTGCCTCTAGCTTCCCTCCCCAACCCC